GGAGCCCGATGCGGGGCTCGATCCCAGGACCCTGGGACCATGACCTGAGCCGAAGGCAGACGCTTAATGACTGAGCCACCCAGGCGCCCCGAGAGGCCGTTTCTTATCACAGAATAGCAGGGAGCCCCACTACCACTGATCTTTACTTCCGCCCCAACAACCTCTCTTGTACACTGGTCACCTATCACCCCAACAAGAACATGAGCTTGAGAGCAGGGGTCTTCATCTGTTTGGCTGACCCAGCCTCTGGCCAGCACCCTCCACAGAGCCCGGTGTCGAACAGGTGTTCAATATTCACTGACTTAATGTACCCAAAACGTGTCACTGAGCTTTACGGCAGCCAAAACACCGTATGGAAACAGGACAAATTCAGTACTCTTATGGTCTAACAGAAGGAATGACGTTGGTTATCGAGAGAGACACTTCCTGGCTACAAGCACAGGCAATCTGAGTCTTAGAGATGAGTCAGAATAAAAGGGATGCTGCACAAAACGGGGGTTAGCCCTGACGACCCCTTCCTCATCCCCTACAGCAAGCAGTCACATGAGTCCTTGCAGCTTCTTTGGCTCAATGTCATCAATCTATTGTTCGACCAACAAGAATGAGTGATTACCACGGGGAGGCAGAAGTCTCCATCCGCAAGACAACACGCAAACATTTGGATATGGAGAAGGCCTAAGGAGAACTACATAAATAGGACAGTGACAGGGCACAAGTGGTCAGGGAAGCCTTCTGGGAGGTGTCCCTTCGGCGGAGTACTGTGTGATGGGTAGGTCATGTGGTGAGATGAGGGGCAGAGCATCACTCTGCCCTCACCTTACTTTAGGTCTCCGCCATCCCGCTGCAGGATTCCTGTCAAGTCTTCCTACCTGGTCTTGGGGTCCCAAGCAGGCTGTTTCCACCCCAGTCTCCACCCAGACCCCAGGGAGATTTTTTTCCGAAACACTCAAACATGCCTTAGTGACTACCTGAGACTTAGTGAGCTTAAGACTCCCCAAAGGCTCCCACGATGCCGAGGACAAAGCCCAAGCTCCTGAGTGTGGCGTTCATGCCTCCTCAGGAATGGCTCTGGCTTAATGTGCTCTATCCCCCAACAAGATCTGCCACAGACACACCGAACAATCTGCCGTCCTCCAGACCTCGGGATTTTCTTTGTGAATTCCAGGGCTCTGCCAACACAGCATCCTTTGCCTAAACAGTACTACTTTTCTTTAGAGACTCAGTTGAAACGTTTCTTCTTCTGTGAAACAGCCCCAGGGCCAGCTGGTCTGCGTTAGGTGCCTTCATAACATCTAGTACTTTTCTTACTGCAGTCCGCAGCACGCCATGCTGTTATCACTTGCTCATCTGTCTTTCTCCCCACTTGACATAAGCTCCCTGTGCTCCTAAGAGGCAGCTAGCATTTCTCACTTATTATATCTTTAGGCACAGGTTTTCTGTTCATGAAACATCCTTAACAACCTCTGCTGAAAGAGTAAAAATGCTGTACATTTATCTTACGACAACCTGTTCTCACAAATTGAGGAGATGGACTAGAAAGAAGGAATATTTAGGACATGGCCCAGCTCTTAAGATGACGGTAGAGAACGTTAGGACATCAAGACCTAAACGTATGAAATCCACAGGGAGTGAGCAAGACTGGCAATGCATGTGGGTGTCCAAAGGCAAAGTGGTTCAAAATACAGATGCTTCCCGACCTAATGACGGTTTGACTTAGTTTTTCAATGTGATTGTGGAGCAAAACTGATATGCATTCACTAGAAATCATACTTCGAATTTTGATCACTTCCTGGGCTAGTGATACGTGGTAAGATCCTCTCTCATGATGCTGGGCAGTGGCAGCAAGCTACAGCTTCCAGTCAGCCACGCCATCACGCAGGTAAACAACTGATAAATTTACAACTATTCCGTTGTTTGTTTTTAGTATTCAAAAAATTAAAAGGCATTCAACTCTTCATTATAAATAGGCTTTGTACTAGATGATTTGCCCACCTGTATGCTAATGTAAGTGTTCTGAACACACTTAATGTGTTCAGCATGCTAGGCTAAAGTATGATGTTTGATAGATTCGGTGTACTAAATGCATGTTTAACTTATGATATTTTCAACTTATCATAGGTTTACCAGGATGTAACCCCGTCCTAAGTGGAGAAAGATCTGTACCTCAAAACTGCTCCCTGGGCAGATGTGAGCAGCCAGTATGTCCTGCCCGATCTCTAGAATGCCCTGGATTCCATTCCATTAAGAAGATAAAAATGAACTCACCCTTGGGCTCCTTCGAGGTGTGTGGACAGGCGGGATCTGTGGAGACAATAATAACTGATAACATAGCCACCCCCAATTTTGGCTCCCAACCCACAACCCCTCTCTCAGTCCTCACCTCTACAGGTTGGGCTACGATCTTCTTCAAAACGATGGGCTTTCTGACTGGAGCCGCATGGGGTGCCTAGAAGAGGAGTGAATATGAGCTCCACATTAGTCCAGCGGCTTCCGGGGCAGAAACTGAGAAAGCCGGGGCTCACCTTGGGCCAGATTTCAGGGAGGGTGCTCGGGAGATCAGGGCCTGATTTCCGCTGGGACCTCCGCCGAGACTGAGTAGGAGATGGGGCCCCGGGCCCTGGAAAAAGAAAAAGTTAGGAGGTAGGGTAAGACTCCAGGCCTCAGAGTCTAGAGAACAGATTCAGGAGTGAGCGAGAGAAGGTTCCCAAACAAGCTCCTTTCCGGGGCAGTGAGCCTCCTACAGCGGTGGGGGGAGGGCCTCCTCGCGGGACTCCGTCCCTCAAACGGCTCGGCCCCAGGCTCCCGCGCGCCTTCCGCTCACCAGAGCGCTGGGCGGACCCTCCGGACCGCGTTCGCCTCTCGGACATGTTAGCCTTAGTCTCGATCTCGGCCGCCGCCTCCGCCGCCGCCGGGGCTCGCGCCAACCCGGAGGGCCGACGGAAACCTAAACGTTCGAATTACCCGCTCTGCCTGCAGGAAGCGGAAGTGACGCAAAGCGGGCGGGCCGCCGTGTTCCGTTCACCGTTCGTCGATCTTCACGTCTGGCGTCAGCAGGGGCGGGGCCAGCGGCACGCTGGCGTCATGAGAGCGCGCCGCACCCGGAAGAGACGTGGCAGCAGAGGGATAATCGGAGCGGCCCGAGGTAGAGAGCGCAGAGCGGGAGCTCGGGTGAGCGCGGTGCCTGTTCTTCCGCGCGTCGGGCCAGCGCTCGCGCCCGTCGGGACCGGTGCGGCGGTCGATCGGTAAACACGGAGAGAGGGGTCTGTGTTGAAGGTGGGGGCGGGGCTTGGAGGGGGTGGGGCTCAGGCGGAGCCCCCTGGGGGCGGGGCCGGTGGTATCGGAGACTCGCTGGTGGAGGGACCTGGCTGGGGGCGGGATCCAGGAGGAATGAGAGGTCACCGCAGGTGGGATTCGTTCGGGGGGCGTGGCCCGGAATGTAGAGGGGCAGTGGGCAGTAATTGGGGGTTGGGGCGATTATGAGAGGTGTTTAGGGGAGTTAAGAGTGGAAACGATCTGGGCTTGTGAGTTTGTAGTGGCGGACACCGGAACTTGGCTGTCAACTCAGACCTCTTCCTCAGGGTCGAATATGGGACTTTGCAAGTGCCCCAAGAGGAAGGTGACCAATCTGTTTTGCTTCGAACATCGGGTCAACGTCTGCGAGCACTGCCTGGTAGCCAATCACGCCAAGGTGGGGCCTTCAGGGCAGGGGCTGAGCAGGGCAGTAGGTGGGCAGGCGGTATTGGTTTTCTCCAACTCCATGAAGGGCCAGGGGTTGGAATGAAGCTCTCCTGGAGCTTTTGTGCTCGGCTCTATCTCCAGCCCTTAAGGCAGACTCTGGCACGCTGTGTGCTCAGTAAATGTTTACTGATGGAAAAACGAAAGGATGAGTCTCCTCTGTGATGAGAGACAAAGAAGCAGCTGGGCCTTGAGGAGATGGGCCCCTGTTGTGATCTCTCTCTCCCACTGCAGTGCATCGTCCAGTCCTATCTGCAGTGGCTCCAAGATAGCGACTACAATCCGAATTGCCGCCTGTGCAACATACCCCTCGCCAACCGGGAGACGACCCGCCTCGTCTGTTATGGTGAGGCCTGCCCAGCTTGGTGACCAGTTTCCAGGTCCTCTGTAAGCAGCAGGGCAGTGAGATCTCCCAAAGCTTGGGAGGCTGGAGCCCCAAATTCTAGTTCTGCTATGTTATTTACCTGCTGTGTGAGCTCAGGCAAGTCATTTTTTCTTTCTAGGTCTCCGTCTTTTTCCCTAAAAATTAAAGCTCCTGGTTTCTTACCTGCCCATTTTGAGGGTTGAGTGAGAGCCAGTCCAACTTGTGGGTATCATTTTGGCTGTGAGCAGTAGCTGGCTGGACCAGCAGGAAGCTGAAGGGATGAGGCTTTTGGACATTTAGGATCTGTTATTCATTCCAGTTAAACAGAGAGAAAGGGAGTTTCTCCAGTACATTCAGCTAAAAGAAGTCAGCAGTCACATGTATCATGACCTTGAACTGACTCTGGTGTAAGAGGCTTAACTCCACTTTTTGAAGGAGCTAGTGCAAAAGAGCTCCGCATGTGTTTCTCAGTGTGATGAGCATATGTGTATATATGCATGAATTTAATGTGTTTTATGACTTTACATGTGTTAATTAGTGCGTTAGTACCTGCAGATGAGTGAATGGGTAAATGTGCGTGAATGTATGAACACAGGTGTGTTGGGGGGTTGCAGGAGCATGTGTGGGTGACAGTGCTTGAGTTTGAGCAAATGTGAATGTATAGATGTGTATGTGTGGGAGTTAGTGTGCCACACTTGGTGATACAGGGAATGGTTCTTGTATTTGATGATGTGTATACAAGCACGTGTACATTTGTGCCCATAGGTGTGTACATGCATACGTGTGCCTGTGTGCGTCTAGGAACTTTTTCTGAAACTGTTCTTAACTAGCTCTTAGCCCAAGGAGCTTGTGATGAGTGCATGTTCAGCGAGGACTCACTTTTAAGGGTCGCTGGCATCTTCTTCCCACCCTAGTGGGCTTCTCCCTTTTACTGCGCTGGGGTAGCATCTGCCTTGACTGAGTTTAGGTGGTGGTGGCCAAGAAGGCCGAAGTCTCAGGGAACACTGATGAAGTGGACCTGAGTGAGGACAGGAAGGAGAAGGCTGTGGGCTATATGTGTGTGTGCATATATACATCCATGTAGCAGGCGGGGGGCTGTTGCTGGGCTAGACGTCTTAAGTGTCTTCTTCCTCATGCCTCTCCTCCCCTATTTCATGGGCCCTAAGACCTCTTCCACTGGGCCTGCCTCAATGAACGTGCTGCCAAGCTGCCCCGAAACACAGCGCCTGCTGGCTACCAGTGCCCTACCTGCAGTGGCCCCATCTTTCCCCCAGCCAACCTGGCTGGCCCTGTGGCTTCTTCACTGAGAGAGAAGCTGGCCACGGTCAACTGGGCCCGGGCAGGACTGGGCCTTCCTCTGGTGAGAATCTGTCTGGCTGTCTGTCTGTCTGTCTGACTGACCATCTGCCCTGGGTCCCAACCTGGGCCAGATGGGTGCGGAGGGACAGCACCGGGCAGGCTGGTAACACAGGTTCCTTCCTCCAGATCGATGAGGTGGTGAGCCCGGAACCCGAGCCTCTCAACACCTCTGACTTCTCTGACTGGTCTAGCTTTAATGGTAAGTGGTGGTCTGCACTGCCCTTGGGGGCCCTTGCCTCCCTGCTCTGCTAACCACTCTCTTCTTGCCACAGCCAGTGGGACCCCCGAACAGGAGGAGATAACCAGTGCTTCCGCTGCCCCATCCTTCTACAGCCAAGTCCCCCGGCCCCCCACTTCCCCGAGCCGACCCGAGCAGCACACAGTGATCCACATGGGCAATCCTGAGCCCTTGACTCACGGTGAGCCAGGGAATGGTCCAGTCTAGAGGAGGATAGAAAGGAAGTGGGGTGGCTCATGTGGGGGGAGCTCAGGGTTCCAGAGGCCCACCCGGGGGGCCCCCTCCTCACTCTAACAGAGACATCACCTCCTCACAATTCTGAGATGGTCTGTCGGGCTGAGAGGGCAAGGACCTCCTGCCCTCCCCACCCTGCTGCAGGCCAGTTTCTCTGAGCCTGTGGACACCGGTGGCTCTGCCCCTGCAGCCTCAGCCCCGAGGAAGGTGTATGACACGCGGGATGATGACCGTTCACCAGGCCTCCATGGAGATTGTGATGACGACAAGTACCGTCGCCGGCCTGCCCTGGGCTGGCTGGCCCAGCTGCTCAGGTATGCACGGTCAGGTGGGCCCGGATGCCAGGAGCGGGGAGGAGAGGAAGTGAGAGCCAGAGGCCCTGGGCATGATGATTACATGATAGATAAGAGGGGCTTCGACTGGGTATCAGTAGTCCCTGGGGTCTGGCTATGCAGAGAGGCGTCAGCTCGGCCCTAGAAGTCTTGAGTCTGCTCCCCTGTAGGGCTGTTTCCTCGCCTGCTAGGTATCTGAGGCTTGAGGTTGGGCTCTTTGAGGCCCCTTGCTGCTCCAGCACCACCTGAGCCCAGTGACTCTGCCATGCCTGACACATCCTAGTTGCCTCAGTTGGTTTGAGCTGCACGGTCCCCTGTGTAACGAGCAGGTGCAGGGATGCGCCTGCGCACCGGAAGCAGCAAGGCTCAGGAATGGCAGCACCAGGGCCAGAAGACAAGTGTCGTGTCTGGGGTTCCTCTCCGGGCCGAGGGGCCGTCAGGGATTGAGAACCTGACCTGACTCTTCCCCTCGTCCCCCGCAGGAGCCGGGCTGGGTCTCGTAAGCGGCCGCTGACGCTGCTGCAGCGGGCGGGGCTTCTGCTGCTCCTGGGGCTCCTGGGCTTCCTGGCCCTCCTCGCGCTTATGTCTCGCCTGGGCCGAGCTGCAGCTGACAGCGATCCCAACCTGGACCCACTCATGAACCCTCACATCCGTGTGGGGCCCTCCTGAGCCCTTGCTTGTAGCCAGGCCAGCCTAGGACCCCGGGGGCCTGAGGTAGGGAGGCCTGGGGACGTTTTTTCTGCTCCTCTTCTTCACGCCTGAGACACTAAGATCCCAGGCCCAATCAAGTCCACTAGAGTGGCTGCTAGCTGGGCCTGGGGCCCCTGCCGGTCAAACGTCTGTCTTGACCTGCTTACCCTGGGTCTCCAGCCTCCCGCCCTCCTCCCCACGAAGGAGGTGACAGGTGGAAATAAACGACAGACTTTATTAAAACACCGAAGCCTCCTTTTCCTTCCCCCTTCTCAGCCCAGTCTTCAGGCCTCAGTGGTTCTCCTGACGGTACTGGATGGCCAGAAACTCAAGGGACAGGCGGTTGAAGAACATGGCTCCATTTAGTACTGAGCAGAGAAGGGAGCCCCTATCAGCATTCCCTGCCTACTATCTGCCATGTCTCGGGGATCCAAAGCTCCCCCTCCCACTTGGCACACCCCCCTCCCCCACTCACTCAGGATGGTCAGGGCAAAGCACCGAAGAAACTTGTCATCTGTCATCTCAGCGTAGAGTGACCCCATGGCGGCCCAGCAGATGCTCATCACCTGGGAGAACTGTAGGCCCCATCCAGTGGGAGAGTGGCCCCCTGAGACAACAGTGGGGTTTCCATCAGTCCCTGGGCCTCCCCCGACCAGCCCTTGAGCCCCGGCCCCAGTCTACCATCAAGACAACTGTGTAGTGGAAGCTCATGCGGTCGTAGTGGTGGGTGACGCAGAAGTTGTGCACGTCGCTGGCAAAGACCCCAAGGTGTATAAGGAAGAGCATCAGGGCAGCTGCAGTGAGCACCATGCCTTGTGGGAAGAAGAGCACAGCCAGCCGGTCCCGCCACCGCATCGTGGTGGCCACACAGACTCCAGTCCGACGGTGGAAGCTGAGCAAGCCAGCACTGTTCAG